ATTTCGTGAGTCGACTCATGATAGTCATGAGTCGACTCAACCTGATGAGTCGACTCATGTACATGTATGAGTCGACTCACGAGCTAAAAACTGAATTATTCGAATCTGCTGCTCATCGTCTCGTTCCACGCTTTCACCTGCGTTCTACTGATACTGTTTTACACCCCTATTCTCATACTATCATGAGAATCATCTATCCTCAAGCTCCTATGAGGATCGCTAAGCTCCGAATAGAAGATACACCCGTATCATGGGTCCCCTCTTTAGGAACTTGAAGTCTCATTCAAGTTAGAACTTTTACTGAGGAAACTCTCGAGCTCCTCCATCTTTTTTGCACCACCTCGCCTTGCTAGGAATCCGGTCTCGACGTCCGATCAGAAATAACTCATTCGTCTCGCGTCTCGTCGTGGTCACCGTTCGCTCTAAGTTGTAATCATTTGTCTATGGCTTTTCTGGAAGTCTAATGCACAGTGAGACAAACTTCTTGCTTGCATTCACTAGTCTCTTCGCTCGCGTCACCGTCCCCAAGCTTGTCTCCTTCGGAAGAGATACTGAACAAAATATGAACTTTACACCATCCTTAGTGAAGGTGTACTTCTGAGCCCGTCTCTCGTAGATCGTATATCTATCCCGTAAGTATGGATTGCCCAGTATAATCTGACAAACATCCAATAGAATGACGTCGCACGTGACCTCGTCAATATACAACTCGTGGAGCGTAAATCTGACAGTGCATTGATCAACTATACTCAGTTTCTCCTCCTTCTGAATCCACCCCAATGGATAGGGCTTCAGATGCTTGACCGTCTTCAGACCCAACTTCTGAACCAATGCCTCGGATATCAAATTCTTCTCGCTGCCCGAATCAACAATGACATCAACCAAACTGGTCTTCACTTGCAACTTAAGAACAAAGAGTTTCTCCCTCGGGTCGTCGTCCTCTTTCGTGGTCTGCTTCCTCATCATAAGGTTGAGACTGCTGTTGGGCTCTGTCATCCCCGGGACTTCTTTCGGACCTTGAGCTATCATGTGCTGTTGGGCTCTGTCATCCCCGGGACTTCTTTCGGACCTTGAGCTATCATGTATGCCTTTTTCTCCTCATTCTTCTTCAACCCTCTTGGCTTGAGATGATGATACTTCTCCCAGCACCGATCAGCTGTATGCCCTGTCTTCTCGCAATGACTACAAATCAGCCCTGCTTTCCCTGGATCACCCTTCGTCTTCTCCTCCTTAGATTGAGAACCACTAGACTCGCCTCCCGTCTGTTTGGAGTCTCCCTTAGCCTCGTTGCCCTTCTTTTACTTGCCCTCGAGGGAAATAGCCGTCACGCTCACCTCTGTAATTTATTCCACCATGAATAGCTTCATCTCCTTTCGGATGTAATCGCTCAATCCCGCCATATACTTCATAAACACGGAATATTCCTCTGTCGAAATATTGAGGACCATCGCCTGCTGCTGGAACTCTGTGGTATATTCTTGAACGGTTTGATTAACCCTTTTGGCGTAAGCCGTACCACTTGTACCAACGCTCTTCAAGGAATCCCACCGGGTAGAACTGCTTCCTCAGTAACTCCTTGAACTTGTTCCACGACACCGCCTTCTTCTCCTGCTTGCAGTAGGATTTCCACCACGTCAACGCATGCCCTGAAAGCTTCAAAGTCACGAACACAATCTTCTCTTTTGACGAATAGCCATAAAGAGTAAAATACGTCTCCATCCGCTCGATCCAGTCATCAAGCCTCTCGACGTCAACACTCCTATCATAAATAGGAATCTCCACCTTGAAGTCAATCTCCAGGTTCTGATAAGAATTCTTACCCCCTTGATGCAATGCAGCCTTAACGGTCTCCTCCTCCTCGTCGGAATCTGAATCTACTCTCTCCACATCGAACTCAACAATTTTCTCCAAAGAAGATTCACCTTGTTTGCCACCTCCATGGATAAGACTGACGAGTTGTGTGAGAGTCGAACCTATCGTCTCGATCTGCTTCTCCAATGCATCAATCCTCGTAGAATTGTCTCCTTCAGCCATCTTATCCTTCCTTAAAACCTGGACTCCTTCCAATGAAATAAGGATCTCGCCAAGCTTCTTGTATTGCGATCGAGTCAAGACCATACACAGGATGCCCCTTCACCAGATCTGATTGCTCTGATACTAACTTGATACGAGTTGCTGTGCAAGCACCCTTTGATCACGGAGTTACCAAAAGATGGGTTGAGAAGAAGACAACTAAAACACAAGACAATTCAGTTTGGCGAAAGAAAATACCTTCTTCTAGATTATGAAGAACAAAAGATTACAATCTCTCCCTCACAATCTCACTAGAATCGAGAACAACCTCTCAATCCTCTCTAAACCCTAATACAAAGATTAGAATCTCTCTCTGATCTAAGATCATAAAACTGATGTTTAGAAACCCTAAACAACCCTTTATATATGTGTACAAACATGGATGGCAATCTGGTAAATAACCAAGCCCAAAACCAACAGGAATTCGTGTGAACAGAAACCCAAACGAATCAGGAAACTATCGATGAGTCGACTCATGACCTCATATGAGTCGACTCATAACTGATGAGTCGACTGGTCAGAGACTTTTGCGAACAGGGCTTGATTTCGTGAGTCGACTCATGACAGTCATGAGTCGACTCAACCTGATGAGTCGACTCATGTACATGTATGAGTCGACTCACGAGCTGAAAACTGGATTCTTTGAATCTGCTGCTCGTCGTCTCGTTCCACGCTTCCACCTGCATTCCATTGATACTGTTTTACACTCCTATTCTCATGCTATCATGAGAATCATCTATCCTCAAGCTCCCATGAGGATCGCTAAGCTCCGAAGAGAAGATACACCCGTATCAAATGGGGTCACGAAGGAGCCAGTGGTAACCACCGGTGATAAGCAGCGCATGTTTGAGCTGGCTGTAGGTTGTGGAGAACTTTGGTTGTGAAAGGGAGGGGGGGTTGGTAGGTTGCAGCAGGTGATCAGCGGCCACGCATGGTTGTCGCAAGAGGGCGGAGCTACGATTGCAAGAGGAGACACGGTGATGAGATCTGGACCATTGGTGGGTGGAGAGCAGGCTTGGGCTGTTGTAGTGGCGTAGCCTATCAGTGAGGGCAATGGTAAGGCAGATGTCGGAGTCAATGTCAAATGTTTTAATAGGGAATTTAGTCGAATAGATGGTGGGCATGGGGGGGTTGTAGAGAATGGCATTGCCTGGGCAAGGTGTGGATGGTGTTTCATGCAAGCCTATGCATAGGTCTATATTCATGGATGATGGTTGTGGAGTCTGATGCTAAAGCTTTTGTCGATGGCAACAGATCTGGTTGCACGAGGAGGTGGTCAAGAGGAGGGGCTAGTGGTTACGGTGGTGGGCTAGTGTCAGGTTATTGAAGCTTAGGGGTAGTAGGGTGTGGTGACGAAATACGATGATGGCAGGTTGAGATTATGCGTGGCGAGGTCATAAGGGCATGCACTGTGAGATAGTGTTTGAGCAGTGGGTGACAGCATATAGGTCACACCTAAGGTATACGAGGGTGAGTTGCAAAATTACTGGTGGCTAGCCCAAGTGAGCTTTTGGTTGGTCACAACAATTGCGGTGGGTAAGGTTGTAGAGGCGGTAGCGGGGATTGTCGTGGGTGGTCATAGTGGTGCTAGCTGCCGAGGTGAAGCTTGGCTGTAGCAGGTGTTGGTAGTGATGACCGATGGGATTTGGTTGCTGGTGTGAGGGTGATTTCAATGGGTGAGATTAGAGGTGTTGCTAACGGTCAGTGGTGATGGGGTTGTAGGCGGCAGAGGCGGATAGAGAAATGAGATGATGTAGGTTTTCACAGACTAAAGTCGTCAGGAGAGCGTTGACATCACCGAGGTTGGAGACGGTGTCAAAGCTGCCAAACGGAAGCAACATGACAAAGTTTGTAGCGAAACCCACTCGGCAGCCCCGAGATCGAGGGGAAGAAAAGAAAGAGGCGTTTAGGAGTAAGAAAATGGATCTAATACCATGATAACTTTAGAAGAAGGCTTGATACCATTGATGAGCATGGTTACATGTGTGATGATTTTCTACCTTTATTAAACCTTACGCTTTATCATCGTATGTGCAGTTTCTCCTCCACATTCCATTGAAAATCATCATGCATGTTAGCCTATTCTGTGAAGCTCCTTCTTCATATAGTGGCCTCTTAAAAACCTGTTGTCATCACATCCGGTATTTTGGCTTTGACTAAGTATCCCTTTCATAATACTAGATAGTATTCTTTACGGCATCAACATCAACCATTGAGACTTTCCTTGCGTTGAGCTTCTCCTCTTCATGGCCTCAACATCGAATAGTTTCTTTGTTGATGTTCAAGGATTTTTATTTCTCGCTATTGTTCTCATAGGCGTTGAGTTCTCCTTAATCAATTCCCCTCGGTTCCTATCCTACGTCATCGATAATACAACTATTGGGCTTTTCTTTATAGGCACTCTTGGATTCCATCCTACATTATTGATTTCGTTGCCACACTCAGACTCCTTCATCAAGGCTCAAATATCTTTGCAAATCAGGTTCTTCATAACCAAACTCTCGGTTTTGATCCACCGTGAGTTTGCACGGGGGTGTAAGATATAATCATGTATAATAATACCACAACACTGCGCGCCCTACCATCCTTACATCCCCATCCTCTGTCCATTCTCACTCCATCATGTTAAGCGATGTCACATGGCACATCACCATTCTACCATCCTGATATCTCCATCCTCTCTCTCTCTCTCTCTCTCTCTCTCTCTCTCTCACCCTCTCTCTCTCTCTCTCTCTCTCTCTCTCTCTCTCTCTCTCTCTCTCTCTCTCCATCCCATATATGACACACACACATATATACATATCATGTAAGTATTGCATAATGTAATCTACAAATTCTGTAATATAATGAAATTGCTCTCTTTGTTTAAAAAGCTTGACAAAAATATCTAAGAATCAATGCATTTACCTCAGTAGTTTATTCACTCATTGGAAAAAAAATTGCATACTCAATCAGATTTCACTGAAACAGAAGAAACTGCTTCTTACAAGTACACCGTCAAATGATTACCAAACGAGCGGGCCACTTCTTATGAGAAATATATACACAAACCTTCCAATGGTTTCATAGAACTAGATAAACTCTTTATTTCTTGGCTTAAGTTGATAACTTGGAGTAGGAAATATATCAACTACCAAGACTTCTACACCAAAACAAGACTGTTATGTACATATTTACATAATTAGATGAAAATGATCAGCATGGAGGGATCACTGGAATGCCACTAGCAGCAGAGGTGTTGGTTTTTTCTGCACGAAAAATGTGCACTTTTATGTACTCAGCTCCTCCGAAGAATTCAAATATGCATACATCACCGAAAGCCAACTTGTTTCCTCTCGAGAAGTGGGACCATCCAACCCCCAATTCTACTTTCCCACTAGTTCGAACACTGATGTTTGTGCTCCATGATTTTCCTGAAGGATCGATTAGAGTTGTTTTTTGATTTTCCACCAGGCTAACTTGTCTCGACACTTTCTTTGGAATCGGCTGGAGTTCATGTCATTATAAAGAAGTAAGGAGAAATTAAGCAAGAAATATGAAAATAATAGGTGCGAGTAAATAGAACGTTGTTCAGAGGTTGTTTGGTACACTGCAATTGTAATTGTAGCAAATGTTACATGCACCATTTTTTGCAAGAAATAAAACCCGAATATGTATATGAATATATATCTACATCTATATGGTGACAAATGTATTAGTTGCAAAAGTTGTTCGATTTACATTTTTCGTTGTATGAAATGCATATCCATTACAATCAAGTGTTATTTCTCTACAAATGTAAAAATATTTACATCTTTCAGTTAGAATCAGTAATTTGGTGACATAACATTAGTTTTTAGTTTTATTATTATTATTATTGCAAATACTTCCAACATTTGCTCAGCCAAATTGTCTACAACAACTGTTGATGATTTTTTCTACAAGATGGAAATCCATGCTTTTTTCTACAAGATGGAAATCCAATTACCATCCTCAACAACCTTGTTGCAAACCAAATGTTGGAAATAAAATTTTGGTTGCAATAATTTTCTACTATAGGTCTATTTCATACCAGCCAAACAACCCCTTAACTGAAATATTTTCATCACTCAATAAACTGGATGACCTTTTGTTTTTGAAATGCAAAAGGGTTTTTTTAACCTAGAATAGCAATGATATTCATTATTGCCTTCAAGAGTTTAGCAATGACCATGGCAAACGTTTCTAAAACATTTGCAATTGAAATACAAGCAGGGAAAGAAAAGTAACAGACCACATGATATAAACGAGACAGCCTCCAAACAATAACAAACGTTGGATGGAGTGATTTAAAGGATTTGGCTTCGTTTGGAATCTTTGTCATATCATCTGCACTTAGAAATCTTTTGACTGCATCAATCATACTAAGAGAGTTATAGATATACACAAAAATAAGATTAAAAATAAAAATAAAAATAAAAATAAAAACAAAAAATAAAAGAATAGTCAATTTCTTGGGAGAAGATAAGAGTACTAGCAGTTTCTTACTCTTAACATTATATGAATCCATTGATTTCCTGGCGTGCCGAACCTTTTTCATATCATCTACACTCACAAATCTTTCGCTTGGACCAATGATGCAGATAACATCACTTATATATATGTGTATTTGTGTATATATGTATATATATATGAGAATAATGGAGGTGAGCTGGCAGCTCACCTCTCCCCGTGAGCTGCAAGTGTATGACATGTGAGCCCCTAAGGTAGGGTTACAATACATCTAGGGTGTAACTAACTTGGTTAAACTCACCTGTAAAAACACATGTTTGAGCGTCGATATTAATAATCAACACTATTCATTATGATCAATGCGTCCAGAATTCCATGGAGATAAAAAATATTAAGATATTTCTAGTGTTAAGTTAAATATTGGGTATTGGGTTAATGGGCTGTTACCCGTTAACCTTAACCCTATTTGTATGGCTATATATATCTCTCTAGATGTGAAGAATGCTTTTCTTTATGGTGATTTGGACGAGGAGGTTAATATGGAGCAACCTCCTGGGTATGTTGCTCAGGGGGAGAATATTATCTGCAGGCTGAGAAAGACCATCTATGGGTTAAAGCAGAGTCCTCGAGCTTGGTTACGAAAGGCTATACCCAGACATATAGCGTCGACTATTTTGAAACATTTTCTCCCGTTGCTCGTCTCAACTCCATCAGAATTCTTTTCTTTCTGGCTGTTAATATGGATTGGGCGATGCACCAACTAGATGTGAAGAATGCTTTTCTTTATGGTGATTTGGACGAAAAGGTTTATATGGAGCAACCTCCTGGGTATGTTGCTCAGGGGAAGAATATTATCTGCAGGCTGAGAAAGGCCATCTATGGGTTAAAACAGAGTCCTCGAGCTTGGTTTGATAAGTTCAGCAATGTTATTTCTAATGTTGGTTTCCAACGTTGTCAGTCTGATCACTCTGTCTTTCTTCGACGCACAACAACTGGTTTGGTTATTTTAGCCGTATATGTTGATGATATTCTGCTGACTGGGAGTGACTCTATTGCCTTAACTGAGACTAAGGAGTATCTAAACCGTCATTTTATCACTAAGGACATGGGAAAGCCAAAGTATTTTCTTGGGATTGAAGTTGCATATCAAAAACATGGCATGTTGTTGTCCCAAAGGAAGTATGTGCTAGATTTACTAGAAGAAGCAGGTCTCTTGGAATGCAAACTTGCAAGCACTCCAATGGAGGCAAATGTTGATTTGTGGCGTGATAATACCTCTCTCTTAGATGATGCTGGACGATATAGGAGACTAATTGGGAAGCTAATATATTTGACAGTTACCAGACCTGATATTACTTTTACAGTAGGTGTATTGAGCAGATTTATGCACAAACCTAGAGAGGTTCATTGGACAGCAGCTCTGAAGATTTTGGCATATGTCAAAGAGTTGCCCAGGCAAAGGATTGTTATATAAGAAGCATGGGCATACTCACATTTCGGCTTTCTCTGATGCTGGCTACGCAAGAGACATGGGAGACCGGAAGTCAACCTCAGGATTTTGTACTTTTGTTGGAGGTAATCTTGTGACTTGGAGAAGCAAGAAACAAGATGTAGTATCACGATCTAGTGCAGAGGCCGAATATAGAGCAATGGCTCACACTGCTTGTGAGATGGTGTAGCTAAGAAAGTTTATGACAGAGCTTGGTTTTGTTCAGCCTGGACCCATGCCAATGCATTGTGACAACCAGTCTGTCATTTATATTGCACAGAATCCTGTGTTTCATGAGAGGACAAAACATATTAAAGTTGACTGCAATTTTGTTAGAGATGCTTGGGAGAAGAAGATAGTATCTCTCATATTCACTCCGTCCTCACAACAACTTGCTGATATTCTTACCAAGGCTACTTCTTCAAAGGTGTTCTCTACTATATGTGACAAGCTGGGCATGGTAGACATCTATGCTCCAGCTTGAGGGGGAGTGTTAAGTTAAATATTGGGTATTAGGTTAATGTGCTGTTACCCGTTAAGCTTAACCCTATTTGTATGGCTATATATATCTCTCTTGTTATTATCAATATACTATTAGGGTTTTCTCTATTCTTTACATCTAGTTTACACATCTAGTGGCCTAGAAATGAACGGTCTGTAATGGTCAAAAATGCCCGTTATTTTGAGTTGTTTGAAATATAGGATAGAAAATCTCAAGAAACATAATACTTGATCTACACTCATTTGCTAACATCTAGATCATAATGAACGGTGTTGATCGTTAATATCGACGCTCAAACATGTGCTTTCACAGGTGGGTGTAACTAAGTTAATTACACCCTAGGTGTATTGTAACCTTATATATGTATCTAAATATGAGAGTAGCAGTCTCTTACTCTTATTATTATCTGAATGCCTTGATTTTTCAGGGTGCTGACAGGTTGATGTTTCCTCACATTTTGTGACTCTAGAAGTACTCCAATCTGCTAAGAAATGAAGTATGAGAAAATCAAAATGACAACAGAGATCCAAAATAGACATTATAAGAATATAACAATATTGGGAGGGCATCAAGAACAACCAACAATAATCCATCCGTGTTCATATGCATGTGTGTTCTCACAAGTGGTTGGAAAAATAATATTTAGAATTTTCTAATTGAGAAACATATATCAAATTTTGATTTAGATGATAACAATAGAACTTTGAGAGTAAACCTAAGATTGTTTCAATAGGAGGCTTATCGCTAAGTTTTGATACGTAGCAGATCCCAAGCTAACATATTGCAAAATGTTACATACCTTTGTGCATTCTATGCGAATACCTCCTTCATTCACCAGCTATCTGGTAATGAATTCATTTCATATTTCTTCTATGCAAAGAAGTATTTGTTTTTTTAGTCTAGTTTAAAGAATTAACACTATGCGGGCACATATGTTCATTGAGGTTTTCTAGATCTAGACAGCCAAAAATCCTATCATTTGGCACAATGGGGTTGGGTGTGGGAGAGGACCACTCTATTCCTAGGCCTACAGAACCCACTAATATAACTTTGGTGGACATCAACTTAAGTTGATAGGAGTCTTGCTCTATATATATATATATATATATATATATACAAATCCCCACCGACTCACTCACTCTCTCTCCTACTTTATAAGGATGGTGGGAATTGTGCCACATAGGCGTCTGTTGAGAATGGTTGGTCCAAACCATTAATCTCACATGGAAAAATTGTAGAACTCAACATGGGTATATAAGTGGGGGATTGTCTCCACATAGTAACGATGCCTTTTAAGTTAAAACCCTACACCTGTGGCCCAAAGGTGTTTAAGTTGGGGACAATATCGTTACTATGTGTTTGGACCGGTAGACCCGATTGGTGCTTCGGACCCGACCCGTGTGCCCCCTCTAACAATTGGTATCAGAGCTTGATAGTGAATCCACGCACTTGTGAAGCAGTACCGGTAGCTGGACTTGGTGGAGTCAGGAAGAACTCGGTAGAACCTAAGGTGATGAATCGCTACAAAAAACGTCCTGGTAGCTGGACTCGATGGAACCTATGGTGGAGTTAGACTCGGAGAAGCCGGAGGTGGAGTCGCTATAGTCCTATGTACACCCACGAGCTGTCAAGGTGGTTGTGTAGGTTCCTCGAGTAAGGTGAAGTAGGGTGTACCTCGAGATGTGCATTGACCAAAGGTGGACGATCTTGCAGAAAATGTTGAGTGGTGATCTACATGGACAGTTCAAAGGTGGATTCATGGTGGACTAAGGTATAGGTCCAGATGGAGCCGGGTGGATCGGTGTTAGTTTAAGGTGGAACCAAGGTGAACTGGTTTGAACTAATGTGGAGATTGTTGAGAATGGTTGGTCCAAACCATTAATTCCACGTGGAAAAATTGTAGAACTCAACATGGGTATATAAGTGAGGGATTGTCTCCACATAGTAACGAGGCCTTTTAAGTTAAAACCCCACACCTATGGCCAAAGGTGTTTAAGTTGGGGACAATATCGTTACTATGTGTTTGGACCGGTAGACTCGGTTGGTGCTTCGGACCCGACCCGTGTGCCCCCCTAACAGCGTCAAGGAGG